AAATAAGGAAATAAAAAAAAAACAATGATAGGCAGGGCGAAAGGAACAAAGCGTAAAGAAATGAGTAGGAAGAAAAAAATTGAGTAGGGGCGAAATAAAAGGTTGGCAAAAAGAAAAAGAGAGGGCGAAAAAAATGAGTAGACAAAAAGAAATGAGTGAGGAAAAAAAAAAATAGGGTGAATAAAATAGTAAAACTACCGGTAAAAATCAGGATTGACTGTCCAGTGTTGACATTGGAAATTAATCTGCATGTTCACGTGAGCGCCTCAACATAGTCAATCCTAATTTTCGTCCCTCAGAATAAATATCCAATCAGACGAGTTGCTATCAATTATTTTTCATATTGCTTGCGAACCAAAGTCATGCATGATCCATTTGCAATTCTAAAAGGAGAAATTAATCGTCTCAGTTTTACTTCAATCGAAAGAATTCAATTATTCTCTTACTTCACTAATAATGTAGAAACAATAACTGTTGCAATGTCTTGTCTTGCCGATTTAACAGATGATGATAAGTGTGGATACTTGAGATCTTTGATCTCTAAACCTGGTATTCCCGAAGAAGTACTTGCAAATAGGATCAAATACTTGATGTCCAAAGTAAATGTTATTGATTCTTTCCCTGAAGATATATTCAATAATTCTTGCTAAAAATTTGCCATTCAACATCGAGACTGAAAGAATACTATGTTTATTACTAGGCTTGCAATACATGAAACCAGAACCTCTACTTAGTACTTCTGGCGCAGATTGGGAATATCATCCTCATCCATCTTTGAAGCATATTTTGCGAAGTGAGCTTAAACAACATTATGAAAATTTTTGTTCAGGGTGTTTTGACAAAATGTTGCTTCCGTTATATCTCTTTCTTTCTGGAATTGGTACCAGAAAATCTCGAAATGCTAGTGAATTTCATCAGACGGCAATTTCATGTTTATCAGCTCAAGAAGATAGGGAGTTATTGACTAAGATTAAAGAAGCCTGGGTATTCCTTGTCAGTTATGAGAATGGAACCTCTTTACGAGACGATGAAACCAGTGCTTATCGTGCTGTTGGTACTCGAATGTTACATCAACTTCTCAGAGATAAAATGAGTTTTGATAATATTATACAAAAATATGACCCACCAACTCCATTGAGCGTTGTATCATTAGTTGCCAAATACCATAACCGAGACTTAAAAAAAATTACTGTTATTTTAGTTGTTGATGGCATGCAACAGCTTATGAACAACAAAGATGATGGTTTAAAGTCGGATTCTTGGTTTTACATGGCCTTGTCAAATATCGCAGATCTCGTATTTAGTGGCACTTTCCTAATACCCGTTTGTACCTCAGCGATCACTGGTCTGGTTGAGGGTACATTTAAATATTCTAATCGGAAACGTGTATACTTACCGATCGCTTCTCTACAACCCCCAAACTATTGCCAAGGAGGTAGCTTGATCCCAGTATTTAAAAATGATGAGATTACTAATACTCTTGTAGAAGATTGTGGAGGGCATGGAAGGGCCCTAGAAGTTTTGAATGAATGCTTGGCTGGTCGTAATATTGAAGAATGCAACCTCAATGCTTTGATGAATGACCTGCATCATAAGCTTACTAAGAAGTATCGTGATGCTATTCTTGGATCTGTAAAAGATGCGAGGCCTCTTGTAAGAGCAATATTAACTTGACGTCGCCTAGATTTGTACACAACTGTTCCTAAAACCAACAAGACACCGGACGAATTTGCTGCAAGTGGATTGATTCGACTCGAACAAATAGATAAAGATAGTCCGGTGGGATATCTCACTGCACTGTATATTTGGCTCTGGATATTGGTAGAGATATGTAATGAGCAAGGAGCTCCAATATTCCGAGATCAGGATTATGGAGAGCAAAGAGCGCTTCTGAATCCAGTATTATCTTTA